GCTGCCATATTGAATTAAAGAAATCGGTCAGCATGACCCTTTGTGCTTAAATGGTAAGAAATTACTGTCTCTTTTTATTAACTGACCTAAAATACTTTGGTTTAGTATGAATGGCCACAGTGGAGATCCTTCTATTAGGAAAAGCTACAAAACTTGAAATGAAAATACAATTCACATTTTCCAAAGTCTTCCAGTGGGCCGGTCTGAGGTTTTTGCTGGGTCGATTCTGCCCCCCAGACTTTATATTTGATATATGATATATATTCTGACACCCATGTCTTAAGAGGTGTTAATAACGACTGTGAACTTACTTGAGCAGTGAAGCTTGACTGGAGGAAGGCAGAGTTCTTTGGCAATGTCTGTGTTTTTGATCTTCAGAGCATCGTCAACCTGCAGGGTAAAAGCAGATTCATGAGATCCTTTACAATAAAGCGGAGAAAACAGCACTTTTAGGGTCCATTTTTTGGTTGCCTGTACTTTGTTTGGTATTTTAACATACCGACTTCCCCTTCACCCACTCTGTCGCTAGAGAACTGGAAGCAATGGCCGATCCGCAGCCAAATGTTTTGAACTTTGCATCGACGATCTTTCCATTTTCATCCACTTGGATCTGCAAACAGCACAGAGTCAAACATCGGAATTTCAAAGACATGACAATACATTGGTTTCTGCTGCTGGCTTCCAGCTTACCTGAAGTTTCATAACATCGCCGCATGCCGGTGCACCCACCAATCCAGTCCCCACATTTTTGGAGTTTTTGTCCAGGGAGCCCACGTTTCTCGGGTTTTCATAGTGGTCCACAACCTTAGGGAGAGGTCACACTTATCAGAAAATATATATATCTCTGATCTGTTGGTGGAGCAGCTGACAGACAGGGCAGTGTTACCAGTGACAACAACAAAAAATGTCAGCTAACTCTATCTAAGTAAGGTGACGTCAGAGGGTTTGGACGCATTTTCACTCGGTTACCTTTTTGTGGTACAAGCAGACAGCGCTCAGCTCCGGTTTGAAAATCCTCCTGCTGAAAAACAGCAGCAAGGACGAGGAGCTTCGTAGGCAGACGTTCGCCATGTTTCCAGCACCAACTGCGAACGGAAATCAACGAGTGAACACGAGGAAGCACGAACGGCTTGTGTTGACAAACAAATGAGAGAAGAAGGTTTTACACAACCAGAGAGCGCCTACTAGCGGCCACGGGCGGGGTTAGACGGTGACCCGTGTTGACGGGCTCCGCCTCTCGTCGTCCTGCTGGCTGCTAGCAGGCTGTTACCAGGCAGATAGCCTTTCCAACATGGCAGCGTCAAGCAACGCAGAGCAAACGCAGTTGCAAGATATGGAGGAGGAAGATGCAGGGATGGAGGAGAGGGAGATGGAATCGGACGAAGAAGAGGAGGAAGGCATGGGAGTGGAAAATTCAGACGAAGACGAGGAGGACGATTCGTCGGAGGACGAGAAAGAAAATGAAGCCGAGATCCAGCGACTTGAGGAGCAGGTAATTAGCCAGCGTTAGCCGAGGGGCTAATGAGAATGAATGGGTGGTAAACACGGGCAGCCACAATCGGGCTGGCAGCATTAAAGCTGTGAACTCCTCCGTCATGACATGGTAGAGTAAAGGCAGAAAATATACGTGGCGTTGGTAGCTCTCGTAAACCAAAACATCTAAATATACAACCACGTCATTTATATAGCTGTCGTGATTAGCTGCCTTGCTAATGTGCGAGGCTAATAGTTCGCGTGCCTCGTATTCACACGCGCCTTTTTTGTTGCAGTCTCAGTCTCGCAATCAACATCATTTAAAAACAGTGTGTGTTAGAAAGAAAGTACAGTACAAACAAAAACAGTACACGCTGTGCTAACTTTAATGGGCGTCACGTGATCAGTGGGTTTGACCCCTTCGCATAACATTGAATCTGCTGTAGTCTTAAGTACGGAGAGTGCTTCTGCAGCGTCGCTGGTGTTGCGCTGAGTTGACTGTGTGGTAGGTGTAGCTCTCCTGCAACCTACAAATACACTCAAATATAGATCCAACTGCATGACTGTATACGAGTCCCTCTGCGAGCATCAGTGTGTGGTACTGCTGACTGTAGTGTGCTATATACAGAGATATGTTTTAAATATTCAGTCTCACTGATGTAGCACAAAAGTCCAACAGATCAAACTACAACCCACGAAACTACCTGAGTTTTCAACCAACAACTCAACAAAATATAAACACATGCTCTCATGAAGGATTGGGTTTAGTTTTTTAGTTTGTAGTCTTGCAGCTGTTAATAATAAAGAACAACAAAAACAATGCTATTACTCTTTAAAGAGAACTCTCATAGTTCATTAGATGAATTATAAGTGAACTGTATTTTCTTTTGTGGCGGTAATAAATTAGAGGTAAACACATAAAAGAAAGCATGGATTATTTAGGATACACTGTGTGCAGGGTGCAGGGATTTTTCTGCATGTAACAGATTTGTATTTTCACCAAAGAGATCTTGGCCTGCCAACAAGCTTCATAAAATATTTTTAAATTCATAGAGATATGTTAAATAAGGTGACACACTTTTCCTACATGCAAACCAATTGTAGCTGTTTTATGTGTTCACCTAAGAATCAAAAGATCCCTGGTGCGATCCTGGGAGAGGTTGCGTCATGAAGGGTAAAAATTCGGCCAAATCAAATATGCGGAGCTACCTGCTGTGGCGACCTCTTGTGAATGCAAGAACAGCTTAAAGTAGATTTTACATGCCAACCGATTATGATTTTGTGCCTACAAAACCCCTGAAGTGCATTGTCACATATCTCATTTCTTCTTCATCTTTGTGTAACTCCTCAGCTGTCCATCAACGCTTTCGACTACAACTGCCATGTGGATCTTATCAAGCTGCTCAAGCAAGAGGGGGAACTTTTCCGCCTGCGAAAGGCGAGGCAGAAGATGAGTGAGCTTTTCCCTCTCACTGAAGGTCGGTGCACGGCTAACATGCTTCTGGGGTTGGAGGAATAAGCGGCTCTGCATTATTTACAACTGAAACCTTGTTTTGTTTAATCCCCCAGAGATCTGGCTGGATTGGCTCAAGGATGAAATCCGTCTGACTGAGGAGGAGCCAAACCGAGAGAAAGTATATGAGCTGTTTGAGAGAGCTGTTAAAGACTATATCTGTGAGTGCGCAACACCATCGCCACCACCTTCCGGCCTGATGATTAGTAATTACACAATCCTAACATTTAACTTCACACACACAGGCCCCGATATCTGGCTTGAGTACGCACAGTACTCGATCGGCGGTATGGGCTCACCAGGCGGAATCGACAGGGTGAGATCCATCTTTGAGAGGGCGGTGACAGCAGTGGGGCTTCACATGACCAAGGGACAGATGGTGTGGGAGGCGTACAGAGAGTTTGAGAACGCCATCCTGTCCACAGTGCAGGTTTGTGCGCCCGTCACTAGGACAGAGTTCATCATTCACACATAAGCTATATTTGTGTTTTTGTATTGATTGTGTACATATGCCATATTGTTTCAACCATTGTCTTAGAAATCAAAAGCTAGTGAAAATAATTTCATTTCCATGTTAATGATGTCAAATATAACACTTCTTCAGTTCAGATTGCTGACTTGAATTCTTTCCATGTTTAACCAAATGGCTTGTGCTTTAACACCGATGTTCTCTGCTGGCTTTCCTCTCAGCCTCCCCCTGGCAGGATTCCCAGCCGTGAGGAACAAGAGATGCTGAAGACCCAGCTCGAGCGAATCCATACACTGTTTCGCCGACAGTTGGCCATTCCCTTAATGGGTAAGCATGACGTGTCTTCTGGCCAGACTGGTTGCTGTAAAATGAGACAGATTCCTGTTGCGAGAGCCATATGTCCAAAATTACCCAGTTTAAAGAAAATGATGACGCTGGCTTTTAGGATAAAATTAACGTGTCAGAGTGACGAGTGCACTCCTCATTAGTTTACTGGAGAGGTAACCGGATGGTTTGGTATCGTGTTGTTTTTCTCTGAATGGAGAGCCGTGCCGTTTCTGAAACATTTGAATCTCTAAATTTAAATGAAGCAACAGATAAAGTAGAACATAAACTGAAAAATGACTATCGACGGTGTGATGTAAATGTAAAATCTGTGATAACTCTCTGCTCTCTGCTCTGCTGCTTTGTAGACATGGAAGGCACCTACGCAGAATATGAGGAGTGGTCCGAACATGGCGTCCCTGAGACGGTTATGCATCAGTACAAGAAAGCTGTGCAGCAGATGGAGAAGTGCAAACCGTTTGAGGAGGGACTGGTAATGCACTTTGCTAAATATGATGCCCATTCGTTCTCTGTAATGTTTTTAAATGATGTTGATCGTTTTTGTGAACGCTGCTGTTGTTTTGCTGCAGATGGTAGCAGAAACTCCCAAGTTAGCAGAATATCAGGCCTACATCGACTTTGAACTAAAGGAGGGCGACCCAGCACGGATCCAGATAACCTTTGAGCGTGCTCTGTCAGAGAACTGCCTGGTGCCAGACATGTGGGCCAAATACACCACATACCTCGTGAGTTGTTGGTCACACACATACACACACACACACCCCGTCTAATGTATAAAACCTTGCTGTTCATCTCGTTCTTTTTTCAGACTGTTTTAACCATTTTTAACTCTTTTTCTTTCTGTGATCGTCAGGATCGTCAGCTGAAGTTCAAAGACTTGGTTCTCTCCACTCATGAACGTGCAGTCAGGAACTGCCCCTGGACCATGGGACTGTGGAAGAGCTACCTGCTTGCTCTGGAGAGGCACGGAGCCGACCATCAGACCGTGTCAGGTAAGAACACGAGCACAGCTCGAAGCTGTTCGCACAAGAGCGCCCGCTGCTTTCAATATTGAAACTATTTGAACTCCTTTTTTTTCTTCATAACAAATACGACTGAAAAAGATTGATATGATTTTTCAGTGGAATTTAATTTGCGTTCATTCTGAATGGATGTGCATTGGTTTTAGAGACAAACTGATAATTGTTCTCATTATAAGTGATTATTTTGTTTATTTCATTTATTATAAAAAGAATTTACAAGTATTTGTGGAAGCAATTACTAACACAGGATGAATATTAACTTAGTAATAATGAAACCACAAAACAGAATAAAACAAACTATGTTCGAGTTTAAAAAGATTGAGCTGTATGACTAATGAAATGTGGAAAAATGTAACCTTTCTTAACCTTGCTTGACTTCCAAGTATGTAAGAGTTTAAAAAAATGATTGGATGGACTTGGCTCCATCATTATAAGATCACGTAGGCCTGCACATTTTTGTGTTTATTTTTTCTTGGAAGTTGCTAAGGGAGACCAGTCCTCATCACATTTATATTAAATGTGATGACAAAAAGGGAGAATTAGTCCATAATATGGCCGGCTCCCTGAAAAGTACAGCATATTTACAATGTGAGATGGGGAAATATTTTTTTTAACTTGCATTATAGTTATTTCTTTGTTTTCTGAAAAAAACCTGACTACCCTAATCTGATTTATTATGACTTTTATGGTTAATGTCTACCACTGTAGCCCATAAAGAGTCATAAAACAGGCAATAGATGAAACCAAACACATCCTGAATTTTACCTTGATATTAAATCATTAGCATTATAAAAGATAAAGAAAGATGTGTGCTTGTCTTTCATTCATTTTAAAACCACCTCGAATTTATTGAAAATACTAACGACCATATGGAGAAATGTTGTCGTCTGATGTGTGTTATGTATTATTCTCTTTTGTCTTCCACGCAGACGTCTTTGAGAAGGCACTAAATGCAGGCTTCATTCAGGCTACCGATTACGTGGAAATTTGGCAGGCGTACCTCGACTACTTGAGGAGACGCGTGGATTTCAGTAAAGGTGAGAGCGGTTTTGTGTCATGAACATTTTGTATGTCAGAAAAAAACAAAACACAACTCAAATAATTTATTTGATGATGTGTTACCTTGTGTTTTCTTTTTTTTGCAGAGTCAAGCAAAGAGTTAGAGGAGTTACGAGCAGCCTTCTCTCGATCTCTGGACTACATGAAACACGATGTCGAAGAGCGTAAGCAGACGGCACCGACATCTATTTTTGCTGTCTTCTTGTCCTGGTTTAGTTTTCACATTATTCACCTTCCTTTGTCACT